CAAACGTTAATTCTCTAAGTGGTGATGAGAACCTGCATTCAACACTAGGAAAATAGTCTTGTTATTCTACCAGTTTTACTGCTCAACCATTGTTGATTCCAATTTTGAATAGCATTGTCATGAATATAATTTTAAGGCTGCTACTTGAGAGAGGGATGTGAGTGTAGTCCAAGTCAGTGTCCTTTGCAGCTGACTTAGCCTCAAAGTTGGCTTTTTCATTTCCTAGAATGCCAGTATGGCCAGGAACAAATATAAATGTTATCTGATTTACAAAACATTTAATATGGTGCTGAATATATGTGATTTTATTGCTATTGCAATTGGGACTTAAAAGAGCTTTTAGGACAGACTGAGAATCACTGTAAATGTTGATAGACAGAGTTTTGTTTAGTAGTGAAGTGGCCCACTGAACAGCTTGGTAGACAGCATCTTCTTCAGCTTGATATTATCCATATAAAATAAGCATTTCTTTAACCATATGATTTAAATAATGATTTTTTAATATAATTATAAAATTTAATACAATAAATTTTAATAATGTACTCCAAGAACCTATATCCGGTGTGACAAAAAAAAAACAAAANTTGCTCTATTACTGCGAGAGGTAGCACATAGCACGTGCCTGCGTGGAATGGAGCCCCTGTACATCATACTTTTCCTGTTAGCAATAAAGTCGTGCCGGTTATGTATCAAACTCCGTTCAGGAGAAACTTTTTTTGAATTAAAATAACGTGACTTGCGGTACAAATTGGAGGTTTATATGTAATTAATTTGGTCCTCTTCCTCTTATGATTTGCATATCTGGTCTCGACTTTCATCTATCTAACTCCGTTCTCGAAATTAAGGAAAGACAGAGACGGACAGACAACAATCAGAATTATAGGTCTACAATTTTTTGAAATTACAGCCCAATAATTTTCTTATGAACGGAATATTTACGAGAAAATACTTCCCATGTAGTTTATACGATCTGTTGCCGAAATATAAACACGTTATTATCACATAAAAGCAATTATTCTCTTTTTACAAGATTTTTGTTTTATTTTCACAAGTTTTATATCAAGTTTTTCGGACGTTAAAATATTCACAAATTAGTTAGTTTATGCGTGTTTTATTTATGTAGATACGTTTTATGTAATTAAAATAAAGTACGTAAGAGAAGTTTAATTTCACAGAAAAGTTTTCTACATACAATTTTTATGCATTTGAATGTAGTTTTAACTGTTATGAAATATTTTTTGTGCGCTAAAGTTGTACTGTACTTTTATTTATATCAGATATACAACAATCTGATTATTAATTTTTCTCGTATGTTTTAATTCACTTTATGATAAAGTGTAATTTTAACTTAATTTTCCAAAGCCAGAATACCAATAAGATATTTTAAAAAATACTAAGATAATATAAAATCAGATATTCTTAAATTGATAATTCTATGAAATTACCAATTTAATAAATATATGAATTGATGAATATATGAATATATGAATTAATGAATATATATAATGAATATATGAATATGAATACATAGAATTTTCCGACAACGTTTGGTTGCGCCATTTGTTACGATATTTTATTAAAAAACTTTTTACATTTTCAACTATTATAAAATGGTAAAAAGCTTAATTTTAAAGGTAGGTATGAGTTTTTAAAAAATTGTAAATGCTAATAATAAGTAAAATCGTCATTAAGTCTGACCCTAGTAAAGATACACACGACCCTCTTCATCTCCCCACCCTCTCAAGCTTTAACCACCACCAAAATCCTCCTAATAAACAAACCACCCTTCAAAATTTCAGAAATTGTTGACAAAAAGCACAAGAGTTATTAAGCTTCAAACAGGGTGAACAAACGTGCCCTTCCACACACACACACACACACACACTAACATCCATACATAAAGAAAAATATCTCTAAATGTTTGCATTTCTTAACGTTTCAAGGTGTCCTGAGCACAAATGTGTAAAAATCTTCGGGGAGTCATTTTTTGACAAATCGAAATACTTTCACTCTGTTATACCGTATATAACAGCCTTTCCAATAGCAGTAATAAAGCAAATAAGAAGAAAATTGTTGAATCGAATAAGCAAATAAAGATAAGTTGAACCAATAACTAACTACACTTTTTCAATTTCAAAAATTAGAAAGTGTAAATTCTATTTCAGAAAAAATTAAGTGATTTTCAGCAAAAGTATATTTATTTTCATATTAAGTTAAGCTAACATTAATTTTAAGCAAAGTTTTTGAAGGGTAATTAGTTAATTTCTGGATTGGGTTGCAATTGATTTAATGCTATATTGAATGTTAATAAATTATGTAATTATCAGATAAAAATTAGTTGTATAGCATGTACTACGTAGCCTATATATATGTACTGTAGCATATTAAAAGTATAAGTGTATAACATTTCACAAAATTTCATTATATTTAATTACAACAAAACTTAATTTCTAGGAATGATGTTCGTTTTCACGGTTGCAAGAAATGGTTACATAAATGCAAACGTATTGAGCTCAAATCTGTTTGCTCAAATAAAAATAAAATAACTATAACAATGTGCTCAAATAAAATATGACTGATAACTCAGCATATTCAGGATTTTGAGAATATGAATGTTGTTAATGCATATTCGAGGATTAAAAGACATGCCCGGTCTTTTTGGAGAATGATCTTCAATCATCTTAGAATTACTTTAGTTACCTACTCTTATTTAATTGAAGTCACACGATATGCGTTATATTTATTTTTATTTAAAAAAAAAAATTGCTTTAGTATCAAGAAGGTGCTACAACACCATAATACCCCTGAATAAGTATATCCCTGCGATAATTGCATAATTTATTCAATCACAGTCCAACCTAGAAGTGTTTCAAAAAAATTGGCTTTCCTTAAAATTAATGTTAACTTTATCTGAAAATGAATTTATATTTCCCGAAACCAAATTTACCTTTTATGTAATAAGTTAGGATTCATTTTTTCTGAATTTGAAATTGAAAATGCTTAATTTATAAGCTCCGTTAACACCTTCCTTATTAGATATTAAATTAAGGGAGGTGCTAAGTGAAGTAGGCTAAAGAACACATCAGGAAAGAAGGTAGGTTTTAAGAAACTCAGAGAATGTTAAAGAAGGGGAAATAATAATAATAACAGAAACAGAATGAATCAAATGCGTTACGTATGGCGAAAATTGGTCAACATCCTGCTCGGGAAGTCTAGATGTGTAATTATCAGTATCAGTTGCCCAGCTTGTGTAAGTTGCGGTTTTGATTTCAAGCCAGATCTTCCATATTTCTCTGAATGAATTCAACTTTAACGTCTACTTATTAAAGCTAGTACAAAGTGACACAACACTTTTAATGCCAAATTATGTTAATTAGGCTAATTATTAAATAAAAATAGTCCTTAAATTTTGTGGTTCTTTGACTGTTTTATATTTATGTTCTTATCACACGTTCTTTTACAAAACAAAACTGTGTGTTGATTATTTCAACTATCCGCCGAGCATTGTTAAATAAACGGCAATTTTTTTAAACAGATACCAGTCCTAAGCCGACAAAGTCTTCGTTACTGATGGTATCTAATAAATTCTACTGTGTATATTTATATGATTTGCGAGAAAAATGAAGTTTAGACTTATAACTTTACTAACTGAACAAGATAAGACGAAAATAGTCATAACATCCGTTTCCGGAAGTAGGTTTGTCGGCATTAACTTTTCTTTTTTTCTCTCCCAGATTCTTTGTTCGCATGTAGCTTCAAGTTAATCTTGCAGATGATTCAAAATTAACGCCACTTCTAGCTTTAAATACTTGGTACAAGAAAGAAAAGAAAGGCGGAAACATTCACTTCCTCTTTTTTTCGTATTTAACCAATTTTTTTCGGATGAAAAGAAGTAGATTTGGTAATAAGTGTAATAATATGCTTTAAAAATAAATTAATGACCTTTCTCATCAATTGATAATAATGTTTTAATTTTGCGAAAATCAATTCATTAAACAGACTGACAAGAAAGTTTTATTCGAATCGTTTCGATTTTAGCAAAAGTTGAGAAGTTAACACGTAAATATGTTTACAATATTTAAAAATAGAAATTAATTTTGAAATTAAAAAGTTACGATTAAAACACAGTTGGAAGAAATGCTTGAAAAAATAAACAGGAAATTAAATCTTTAATTGAATCACGAGTGAAAATTATTTAATTGAGATAAGATATAATCAATTTTACTTTAATAAGTTCCCTTAACTACGAATTATTTTATGTAATAATGAAATTAAAACGTGGAGATTTCGAATACGATTTATTCTTTTAATAAAATGCCGAATTGTCTTTTCAATCCGTCGACCAAAAGAATTAAGCGACGTCGCATTACAATCTAAAAGAGAACTAAAAATAAAATAGAAGCATGAAAAAATCCCTGTTCTCTCCGGAACAGCAACGGTAATTATTCTTATTTATCTAAATTCAATTAAGCTATTTATTACGATAAAAATGATTTTCTACAAGATTATATAATAATGTCTTTCATTTTATATTTTAACAAAATTATAAATGCATATTCTTATAAGTATTAATAAGAGAAAATGGACTATTAGTAAAATATCATAACTGATTAGAGAATTGATATCAATACAAAAATGTAATTTAGCATTCCTGAGTCTAAAAAAATTTGCTTACAAACGAAAATGATATTAAATTCTTTTAATGTTAGAATTATAATTATGAAATTTTATAATGTAGGCCTACATTATTAATTTGTTAATGAAGATAAGAAATTTGTTGATGACTAACTGTTACGAACTTGGGAGACGTTTTTGGATTTTCCCCTCCGAGAGCTGTACGACGACCTTGGGGTCAAGCGAAAGGATTGGAAGGAATTAAACATTACATCACCCTTTCACAACCATTCAGCGAACGAGGAAGTACGTTCTAGGAAAGGAAGCTAGTTTAAATAAAATATTACACGACCAATTTAATAAAGTATTCTATATGAAAGCGTCAAGATGCTGAATACTAAGAGCGTTATATTTTTCGTTTTATGTTTTCTTATATCGAATGCAAGCGAAATACAGACAGATTTAAAGACATTTTTAGGAGAACTTGAAATATATGTAAATAAAAGAAATGATATCGTTTTTCTCTTAGACGAATCTGGCAGCGTTGGCTCAGAAGTCTTTAAAAAAGAACTGTTGTCAACTGAATTATTTGCAAGGATACTTACAATTTCTCCTTCAGGAAATATCCCCGCAATTGTTACGTTTTCGAGTGGTTATGTAGTTCATTTAAATTCTATTTCGGAATTTAGAGACGTCGACATGTGTTCATTTTTGCCAATTATAAAGAACGTTCCGTACGCGGGTGGAGCCACAAACACTGCAAAAGGCTTATCGGTATCGGGAGAAATACTACAAAACTCAAAAAGGAGTGATATTAAAAATAAGTAAGTGCTTTAGTTCAATTATATTTAAACTTATTTTATTTAATAAATACTTTTCTAAATTTCACGAAAGTGAGAAATTGCGTATTAAAATTTATTTTTAAATTAATGAGTTTATTAATTTTAAAATAAAAATAATTACTAATAAAATGTCATATTGTGAGTAATATTAGGCCTAATTTAATAAATATTTAATACGTAATAATTAAGCACGTGTCAAATTGAATGTTTAGCTTTAATTTGATTTAATACATTATTTTATTAATATATTACGACTCGTAATATATTAATAAAATATATTACGAGTCGTAATATATTTTACGACTGTATTATTATAACTCATAATTATAATGAGTTATAATAATACAGTCAAATCCGCTTAAGAGAGAGCACCCTCGGGATCGGTACAATATGCTCCCTTATCTGGACTTTTCCGTTATCTACTTAGTGTAGACGTTAGAGATCTCTATCACCATGTGCCTAGACGACAATGTACAGCACCGTAAGATTAAAGATCGGTGTTTATAAATCTTCCTTAGAATAGTACTTCGTTATGCGGATTTCTGCTCTAAAAAAGCCGCTCACAGGGTGTTTATTTAAACGGACTATTCTAATATCCGATACTCTGTAAATAGGAGTTCCTCTAGTGTAAAACATGGGGGAGAAAATTGGAAACATGAAAAAGTGTTCTGTTCTCACTACTGTGAGTAGCAATACTGACAAGCAAACTGCTCCCTTAAGCCTGGTACCCACATGCGGCAACGGACGACGGAAATCGTTGACGGAAACGGTTGCCGTTCCGTCGTCTTTCCGTGTCTCGTGTACTCACATGCGGAAATTACCCTACAATTGAAACGCGCCATCTGCCAGCCGTAAATATAAACAAGCTACTACAGTAGGTAGGCCACGTGCCAGTAGTCGAAAATCGCGTCTACCGGGATTGCTTTGTTATATCAATTAAACCTTTTAAGTTTGCCTTCGATCTTATCGCAAATAAAAAAAAACCTGAAAAACGAATAATTTGGATAGGAAAAATATTGTAAATCGTCGAAAGTTAGGAATATCGAATACTTTCGTCGCCGAATTACGCTTACTCCATTCCCAATACTTTACGCAGTAAGTCTATTTGACATTAATATTTAAATCGGATAGTAATATAGCGTATAAATGAAATATATTAGCGTATTACTGTACAAATAAAGCTTTTTAGCTTGCCGACCACCATAGTTCGAACGCTATCGTCCCACGTGATCTTTATGACGACATCGCTAAACGGTCCTCCTATTGGTCTAATTTTTACCGTGCCTCTTTCCGTCGCGGCAAAAGTTGAAAATTCTCAACTTCGTATTCCGTCGACGTCGACGGCAAAAGTGACGTCATTTTGCCGTTCCGTCGACCGTTTCCGTCGTCCGTTGCCGCATGTGGGTACCTAGCTTTACTCAATGCTCTGTTAAGTGGATTCGATTATAATAATAAAGTGTTTGTATAATGTAAACAACACAAATTACGAAGATTTTTGGAAGATCTGGTTTAAAATTGATTTACATATTCCGAAAATAATTTTTTTTTCGTTGGGCTGCAATTTCAAAAAATTGTAGGACCTATAAATTCCCACTGACGTCCGTCTGTCTTTCCTTAACCTCGAGAACGAAGTTAGATAGATGAAAAACAAGAACAGATATGGAAACCATAGGGAAAGTAGGCCACGATTAACTGTACATGAATTTCCGATGCAAACTCGAAGTCACATTATTTCAATTCAAAACTTTCCCTGAAAGCAATTAATATATGACCGGCACGACTCTATTGTTAAAGGAAAAGTATGATGTACAGGTGCAAACCACTACTAATTTGAAGTGGAGAGTATATATTTTAAATTAAATATTGATAAATTAAAATTTTCAGCCTGCATTGTGACGATGTCACAATAAATAATTGTTCGTTGTAAATGCTTTTAATCGAAACAATGGATTAAATTGAATTTATCTGTTTAGTAGCCTATTAGAAGAGATAGGGTTTAATATGGCTGAGTTGAGAAGTAAATGCCGACTTTTGGATAAGACAAAATGTTAATTGAAAAGTTTTGAGACCTATTTTACTAATAAGCATGAAAAACTCTTCTAAAGATACTTCTAATAAACTGTCAAAGCGACGAGAAAAGATGCTAATGCTTCGCGTTGACTAATCAATCAATTTTTAATATTTTAAAATTTCTTTTTGCAAATTAATATAAATATTATAATAAAAATTTAACTTTTGACTTCTGAAGCTTCAGATAGTTGATGACCGACGTGACTAAAGGCTGGTTTATAGTTCAACGGCAACAGGACCGGCCTTAAGCCGATCGGACCGATTGTTCCCAATTGGGTCCCGCGTGTAAGAGGGTCTTGCACTGGAGTATACTCTCGGCTTGTCAAGTACATACAACAACACGAAGTAAAAAAGGGGCTTTGGATATATTTTGGCGAATTTTCTCGAAAGCAATCCGATGGGGTGCCAACTATACCCGACATTTGATTATAGGGAAAAAGGGATTAAAACGCGAACGAAAGAGCGTAAAACCACCCAATCACATGTTTTCTTGGTTATTTATAGATTTTTAGTCCTACTTAGGTCTGATTTTAATATTGATAGATTAGCTGCAGGTAGCCTTCTGTCACGAAGGCAAAGGATGTAAAAGAAAACTTGCTAACACATCACGATGGCTTAGATTTGGCGAAATTTCTCGACTCTACTCAATAGGCTTATATTCAGAATCAAGTGTTTAAATTTTACAAAAGGAGTCGGGGACAGGGCCTCAGTTTCTTCAGTTACTCCACATTGTTAAAAAACGTTTTCTTTGACATAGTGACTGATCTAATTTTCTAGAGATTGTCAGATATAACGTTTCTTTCTATCGCATGGTCCGAGTTTCTATTCCGTCGAGTGTAAAACCACTTGTCAGTTGACTAAATCTGATAGATCTCGGTAATCTTACTATTAAATAGAAGCTGATTAATTTTGTGTCGCGGTCCCGTAAATGAGGTAAGTTTTAGTGACCAAGATATAAACCATATATCTGAAATACGAAGTCCCTGATTTTCGGATGATTATTGTAAAGAGCAGTACAAAAATAAATTAATATTTTTAATAAATCATTTCAGTCAGTAAAGCAAGTGGTATTGTGATTATGTACAGTACTTTTTAGAGGTGATATACAAATGATGTTTATTACTTGTAGACTTACATGTATGCAATTTTATATTAAAATGTAGCTTACGCATGCTTGGTTTATTAACTCGCATGCAATTTTTAAGTGCACATTTTGATTGCCTTCCATATCTGGGACCCACAAAAATTGTTTCCAATGAGTCTTGAATAGCAGTATGAAGTTTTAAGGTCTCTAGCTGTCTCTGGGTTGAGAAGTGAGCGTGTGGTTTATGGGTAAATTACTGTGGTTGTAGTCTATAGACTGGCTCACAATAAACGTTTTTATCCAACACATTACATTCTAGTGCAGGCATTACTATAGCAACAAATGTTAATAGATAGCAAATTTACGTGCTGGATCGTATATACTAGCTACAAAATATTTGTAGTAGCCTATATTGCGATCCGGCAGCTAATAGGATAGCAATATTTAGAGAACGTCACTATTAAAGCATCTAATGAGGCAATACTCTGAATATATCTAATATCGATCCAGTAACGAATCATAAACTTCGGTGCGAAGAAGCATGGTGAGTACAAAGAGATGTCGATAGTGATCGTTAAAGATATGGGGTTTTATATAATTTTCGATTATAAATGGCTTTATAATCAAAAGTTAAAATCATATCATGATAAAATCTTATAGAAAACTGTTTGGGAAAATGTAACAAAATAAATAAAAACCGATACTGTACTTTCGATCAAACTTTTCTTTTTCTTTCGCGTTTTTACTTTCCCCAGATTATAAAGAACTATATGAACGCTGACATATGTCGGACTTAATAACGATTTTTCTCGTTATTAACATTTACAATTTTTTTTTTTTTTTTATAAAACTTGTCTATACCCTCAAAATTAAGCGTTTGCCATTTTATAATAATTAAAAATATAACATTTCTAAAAGTAAAATATCGTAACAAATGGCGCCACACATGCAATATTAAATGTTGTCGGGAAAGTTAAGCAACTCTCTGCTGGATTTTTTTATTAGCTATTCTATTCGCAGTTTCAAATGCCATCTCATGCTCGATAGAGGAGTGCTGTAGCGTAACTCGCTTTTCACTCCGGAAGAACAGAGGGGAAGATCGCTCAGCGACCGCAGAGGCGGCCTTATCGAAGACGACCAATCCGAGGAAGACAGAAGAGAGGTCACGAAGAGACCAAAGCCGGCCTTATAGTAGACGGCCCACGCGAGAAGGGGGACAGAATGCTTTTCGGGAGGACTTTGAGGGGAAGCTGGTCCCTATTTAGATGTCATTGGCAAGGAGGAAAACCCTGAAAAACTCCCGCTGCCAGCTCGTCCGAGTGAGGCGCGAACCCCCGATCGAACTCCGGTGTTTAGGGTCTAGTCACCACCATTAAGCGGAGACGAAGTCCACTCGGCCACATAACAGTAATGTGAGGATTAAACATTGAAATATACTGTGTGCTAGGCAAATATATGTGGTGTTAACTTGTCTTAACTGGGAACAGCGTGAGGCTAGTGTCAAATGTTTAACATCGACTTTAAAATTGCGTTACTATCTTCGTCTTTTACTTCCTTTCACCCCATTATATGCCTGGCTGAACTCATCATGGGTCTAGAAAGAAAGGATTGTAGGCAGTGGCGGATTTCTGCACAGGCAAACGAGGCGCGTGTCTGGGGCCTCAAAAACCAAGGAAACCTCAAAATTCAGCTTTCAAAATAAAAAAAAATTATTTTAATTAATTATTTTTTCATAATAAAAATAATTAATAATTTAGCAGTATTCCCTAAATTAAATTACCCTTAATTATTTACCAAACAATAGTGAAATCTATTATAATAATTTACAAATAAATTTTTATTATTCTAGATTACCAGGTTTTGAAATACAAATCAGTAGTAAATTTAAAAATAAATTACTTTTTATATCCATGGATTACTAAATTTTTTTGTTTTTAACACTTACTGTACTTATTGAAAATTAATAATTCTTGTACCAAAAAGTTTCAATTTTCATAATTAATACAGTAATTATAGTAAAGAATAGACGGCGTTACTCAGAGGTATTTCCGTAAAGTAAGTGAAAAGAAGTGAGAAGAAAGTAGACGTAAGAGAAAGTATTGGTGGCAGGGGCCAAAGGGGGTGGAAAAGTGGGAAGGAAGGAAGATAGAAGAGGAAGGGTCCCTGACGCGCATATGCATTTATTAATAGACGTAAACAGAAATAGTACAGAACAAAATATAACAGCATAACATTTGAACAGAATGCCCAGCTCGGGCTACAAAATAAAACACGACAGCAAACTTATGTACATAATATCATTTACAATGGCAGTGCTTTGCGAGTTTATCATAATTAATACAACCTGAACATCAGTAAAACCTTTAAATATAGCCAAGCAGTTGTAATTTTATATTGGTTAATTTTCAGTGTTATTTCCCTATATCTCACTTTTTTGGACCACCGGTATAGTGCCTACCAGAGTAAAAAAACGTGTGCGTAGAATGCACATTGTAGGGTGTAGGGGTAGTAAAAATATTTAAAGGGGGCCTCAAAATTGAATTGCGCCTGAGGCCTCTCAAGTGCTAAATCCTCCACTGATTGTAGGATTGATGGGAAACACGAAGGCGATCTGCCAAGGGGGATGTGTCCCAGGAAAACTTTCTTTGGGAAACTGGTCCTCAATTTCGATGTTAGACACGTGAAGAACACCTGGAAAACTCCACTGGCCCAGCCCTTTGCACAGGCGTGAACCCGCGACCAATAATCAGTGTTCAGTGGTTCAATTCGAGTGGAAAAAACTGGTGAACACTGAAAGGGTCTCTTAGTGCCCACAGAGTTGAAAAAGGCACAAAAATAAAAATAAAGCAAATTAAATTTCATTTATTTAATTTTTTGCTATTTCCGTCCATTAAACATTTCCGCAGTTAGGCGTTCCATTTCTTTTCCAGATTCACAGAGCCATAGACTGATGCTTTAACTGTCTATGATTCTATGCCATCTGGCCATCAGTCATATTTTCTTAACGCGCTTAAAAATTTCATAACAAACAAAATGAACACATATAATAGGCCTAAGTAATTTATTTTTAATCTATAATTTACAGAAAATCGATACCTTCTTCCACATCNTTTTTAATCTATAATTTACAGAAAATCTATAGTTATAGAAAATAAAATTGAAATATGAATGTTATATTAAAATTTGATGATAAAAACGATATATAAACAGTATAATAGTGCTAGTTATCATATTATTTAAACAAGATAATATCTATTTCAATACATTAATTTTAATAACTATATATTTGAATGAAAAGGAAGAAATATCTTGTTTTAAGAATATATAATTTTTCTCGTCAAACTTGAAATTAATTTTGATCCCAATTTACAAGAATTTGTTTCAAGAGTAGGCCCTACTAATACAAGAAAATCTCACTCGTAAAATCGAAAAATTTATTCTTATTTTTTTTATTTTAACAATACAAATTACTAATTTTTTTAACGAGAAATATGAACTGATAAATTACATTTACGAAGTTATTTTATCTTGAATTATAACGAAATTAATATTTTAATTTTATATATATTACAGAATTATATTTGTGATATCTGACGGTCAAAGCAACGAAGGAGGCGATCCAGCTATAGTCGCAAACGAACTTAAAAGTAAAGGTATTATAATCTTCGGAATTGGCGTTGCAGAAGTTAACTATAAAGAATTGCTTAACCTTGCTACTGCACCACAAAATATTTATATTCTAAATGATTTTAAAGAAATTCACCAGTTGAATGAGAAAATAAAAGATGGTAATGTATTCATTTGATTCATAAAATGATAATTCAATATACTTACTTTATCTGGTAGGGAATATGTGACCTTTTCTGGCTCCTAATGAGGTTTAATAAAATATATAAAATTTATGATTAAAAATTGCAGGTCGACATTGTGACGATATCTCAATAAATAATTGCTCGTTAATCATATTTTTAAGTTATTTAATTTAAAATATGTGCTCTCCACTTCAAATTAGTACTGTAGGGTCTTGCCCCAATACAGCATATTTTTTCGTTAGCAATAGAGTCGTGTGGTCGTCTGTCTAACTCCTTTCAGGGGAAGTTTTGAATTGAAATAATATGACTTCCAGTTTTCATTAGAAGTTTATATACAGTAATCGGGGCCTACTGTCCCTAAGCTTTCTATATCTCGTCGTGATTTATATGTATCTAACTCCATTCTGGAGATTAAGGAAGGACGGACAGACGGACGGACAAACGGACGGACGACAGTGTGAATTTGTCTATAATTTTTTCAAATTGCAGCCCATTTATTTTAATGATGCCATAATCGCAATACACTAATACACCGTAATACACTAATTAGTAATCGGAAATGGATACTTGTAATAATCGTAAAAATTAAGAAACGTTTGTTCATCTTTTCTTAGTAGAAGTTTTTTTGTGTTACTGGAAATTTCATTATTCATCTATATACTGTACAGTTAACCCCCGTATAACACGGCAGTTACGTTCCAAAAAATTGCCGTGTTATGCGAATCCGTGTTATACGAAACAAAGAACTAATACGAAAAGGAGGGTTAGGTTCCAAAAATTAAAAAACATGCTAGTATATTTTCATAATTAAGATAAATATCTTCATAAAAATTTTTTAAGTGATACATATTAATATAAATTAAACAATGTTTTCTTCGTCATCACTAAAAACACTATTAATTAACCGAGAGCGTTTTCTTTTTGGCAAGTTATTCTTATCCTCTGAGCATTTTTCTGCATTATCTTCAGATCCATGCTTTACCTTTTGCAAAATGTA